GATAATCCCTAAGAAATATTCTCTGTATTGCTACTGAGATTGTTCCCTCCGTACCTATATTTTCTGCATTGCTCCAGAGATGATCAAAAGGGACAATCTCAGTAGCAATACAGAGAATACAGAATATTTCTTAGGGAGCATCTCCTATCTCTGATACATGTTAGGTAGTAAGCTAGGACACAAAAATGTTTTTACCAGTGAACAAATTGAAATTACTTGTTCCTTATGTATTTTTATGTGATACTTCAGAATTTTTTTGTCTGACGCGCCGTATCCGGGGCGAAAGTTGCCAAAGTGGGTTTTTTTGACCCTAATATAGAAAATAACAGGGGGTACTTTATTATCCTTGAATAACTTTTTCAGTTGATCCTTAATCATCATAATAACTTTACTGGAAGTTGGTAATATCATTCTTAATTAGTATGCAAAGTTTCAATGATCTGTCGTTAATGGTTGTCATGGAAACCATGATCTTTGTTGAAAAAGTCCATAGTTTTGGTAAAACCTTTACCTCTACATCATATATAAAAGGCATTATTTTTCAAATCAACAGATATCAGAACATGTTAGTACTCTAAAAATTATCAGGACAGTTCAGACATTTGTTTAAATATAATGGATATTGTTATTCACATGATTGGTAAGTGTCAAAGACCATAGAATTACATAGGTGATCAAAAGTGGGCGTCGCCCTTATAATAGTAGGTGATTACCATTCCCTATGAATACAGATTTTAAGTTGACTTGAGATACAATTATAATGTACTTCTATTACCATAATCTATATCAAGCAATTCTGGAAGATACATATAAGTGTTGTAGGTATTACATCATGCTAGGAATGGGGGGGGGGGGGGAGTATATGGGGGGGGGGGGGGGGTAGAGGTAACCAGCCTTATATAAAACTCATATATAAAGTTTTAGTTTAAAAGTGGGGTTTGCCTTCATTATATAACAGGGTTCATACACCTTTTTTAAAATGAAAATCCCTGACATTTCCAGGCAAAAAAGGAAAGTCTTGCCCAGCCTACTAAAAAGTCTCAAACAACTGTATTATTTAAGACAAGACGTATTATGAAAAATGTTGGGGTTCTCATTTAGTACCATTTTCTCATACCGGTAACTTAAAATTACTTCTAAAGGCCATCTTATTCACCAATTTATTCCTGATAGATTACATTTTTAATTTTACAGATTTTACATTGCATAAGGCTCAAGGTAAACATACATGTACAGGGAGTACCCAGTAAATGTTAAGGGGGGTGAAATTATTTGGGTTTGCATCACTATGAGTGAAGCGAAACCCAAAAGGGAATACTGCGTTTCACCTTCCGAAATTTTTAAAAATTTACATTGTAAATGGTGCATTCTAAGCATTTCAAACTATGATTTGTCAACTACTGATCATTGTTAACATTATATGATAACAATAACCTGGCATTACTATTGTCTTCTCCCTTTGGGAAAATCTACACCAAGACATGACACCATACTAGAAATTCCTTCTCTAGTAGCGTCACTATACAGAATAGTCCTATGATACCAAATAAAATAATCAGTATTTGTGTTATCAGGAATCATACCTCTTCTGAAAATAGCAACTTTTTGAGTCATGTGCCCATCTGCACAATTAATCTGAACCAAAAATGGTGAAAGTGTCTTTTTGAGCAGAGGCCCTATATGACCAAAGCATCAGTATATAAAGTTTGAACAAAATCTGTGAACTGATATTTGAGTTATTGCCTTGACAGATGGGCAGATGAATAGACTGATGTAAGACCAGACTGTAGAACAGACAGCTTCTCAATATAAATACAGTTTTACACAGAAAAGAGTTCCAAGAATCTTTATTGATTTTCACCACCCACCCTCCTCAGTTTAAACCCTCAACACATTAAACATATACCAATAATTAACTTTGAATGGCCTAAGACTAACTTACTACAAGGAAAAGCATTGTATTGAACCATCTATATATATATATGTATATTCTTTATTGTTCAGTTTCAGTATAATGTTCACACTGTTCTTACAAATAGACAATACCAGATAGATTGTCATCCAATCAACCCTAATGAAAAGATTTCCAATTAGTGGAAACAACTGAATGTTATTTGGATTTCATTGATATCCTGTCATAGCCTAAAATGTATTTGAACATTATATTTCAACATTGATACAAAATTCCCTGACATATCTACTGTTGCAAAATTCCCGGACATTTTTGACTCTTTCTGACCCAATTTTAACATCCCCTGACCTTTCCAGCACCTCGAAATTAAATCAATTTCCCTGACATTTCTATTCTAAATTCTAAATATGGAGTTTAACTTATAAGATACAATTATACTGTATATCTGTTACCGTAATTCATATCAAGCATTTCTGGAAAACACATATAAGTCTTGAAGTGGGAGGATAGAATGGGTGGGTGGGGGGGGGGCTATGCCAGCCTTAGGTATAAATCTCATCAACATAATTTTGTGTCTCATAGTTAGTACATTTCGTGGCCTTGGATTTTCTTAGCATATTGTGGTATTTTCCAATCATTTAACATTAACTGGCATAGTTGCTTCTTGTTTGCATCATTCTTCAAGAACTCATTCCAATCTTTTGGGACTCTTATATTTTTCCCTTTGGTTAAGTTGCTGCCAAGCCTCTTCTCATCATTTCATACCGAAATATGTGAAGCCCTCCCAGCACTTCACACTTTCACTGGGTGTAACACTGTAAGTGCCATGGTTCAGAGGGGCAAAGTAACACCTTTCAAAACAATGGCAAAGGTAGAGAATCATACAGACACATTCAAAGGACTAGGACTCTCAGCAGACATAAATGACGAAACAACCAGTAAAGTAGAAAAGTTTGTGTATACCATATACAGGGTGTTTCATATGTATGCACCTCATACATTAAACTCATACATGTAGCATTGCCACCGTATTATGTTATATAGCATTTTGTTCCTTATGAAAAGTTAAATAGGACTGGAAAGTTTCAGAATCAAGAGGTGTCCCTGAAAAAAGATACAATCCAACAAAATAAGTGGGTAAGGGGTCATTTATAAGCACTTTTGTAAGGATTTTTATGCCTGTCTGGTGATCTGTTCACTTTGTCTGCTACCCAATTATAGTGATAAAGGTGGGCCCATGGTCCCTGACCTCCCTATAAGCCACTGCATGAATCCTGTCTATACCTCTTTGTGCATAACTGCCACTGATATGTGGACTGAGCTCTGCCATGGTGACAATAGCAAGAAATGTGCAATACGGACACTAAATTTGTCCTTTAAATTGTCCTCAAAATCACCAGAAATTGCCGTCTAAATGACCGGTACCCACAATCTTTGATAGATTATAACTTTTGTCAGTGACACCCCTGGATTCTGGAATCTTATGTAACTTTCCATAACTTTCCATAAGGCATAAAATGGTATGTAATATGATATGGTGGCAATGCTACATGTATGAGTTTAGAGGGGGTGCATACATATGAAACACCCTGAATACTAGTATGGGAAACCTCAAATATCCCAAATCCAGATATGTGTTAAGCCAGATATGTGTTATTTAAAGAGAAGTTTAGGCCCCATACTAAAACAATAACTGACAATGAAGGAACAGATATTAGTCTACTTCCCCCTTGTTAAGACTCCCCAATGCATCACTTAGCAAGAGCCAACTACCAGGCACTTATCTGGCGTATGGCCCATTTTGAAAAACCTAATATTCCAGCACCAGATGGGCACGGTTGGAAACTTAATGATTCTAAAAAATTTGGAAGTTCAGTAGGTAACAATAGATATTCTCTCACAAGAGATTGTTGATATCTTAACACTAGGGGAAGAATCAGAAGATGACCCAGAAGATATACCCTATAAGATCCAAAATTATGTTGATGAGATTTATAACTAAGCCTGATTAGCTTTGCCCCCCCTCCTCCCCACATTCGAACCCCCCCCCAGCCTGATGGAATAACATCAAGACTTAAATGTGTTTTCCAGAAATGCTTAATATGAATTAAGGTAATAGAAATTCAGTATAATTGTACCTCATAAGTTAAACTCCATATTTATAGAAAATGGTAGTAATCTATTATCATTATGAGGGCAAAGCCCATCTTTGATCACATTTGTATTGTAATTGTATTGTCTTTGACACTTTCCAATAATGTAAATTGCAATATCCTATATATTGAGATAAATCAGAACAAGATTCAAAAGATGTACCACATGAAACTAAAATTTTAAATATGAGTTTTATATAAGGCTGGTTACCTCTACCCCCATGTACCCCCCCCCCGCATTTACCCCCCCCCTCAATCCCTAGCATGATGTAATACCTACAACACTTATATGTATCTACCAGAATTGCTTGATATAGATTATGGTAATAGAAGTACATTATAATTGTATCTCAAGTCAACTCAAAATCTGTATTTATAGGGAATGGTAATCACCTACTATTCTAAGGGCGACGCCCACTTTTGATCACCTATGTAATTGTATGGTCTTTGACACTTACCAATCATGTGAATAACAATATCCGTTATATTTAAACAAATGTCTGAACTGTCCTGATAACTTTTAGAGTACTAACATGTTCTGATATCTGTTGATTTGAAAAATAATGCCTATTCTATATGATGTAGAGGTAAAGGTTTTACCAAAATTATGGACTTTTTCAACAAAGATCACGGTTTCCATGACAACCATTAATGACAGATCATTGACACTTTGCATACTAATTAAGAATGATATTACCAACTTCCAGTAAAGTTATTGTGATGATTAAGGATCAACTGAAAAAGTTATTCAAGGATAATAAAGTACCCCCTGTTATTTTCTATATTAGGGTCAAAAACCCCACTTTGGCAACTTTCGCCCCGGATACAGCGCGTCAGACAAAAAAATTCTGAAGTATCACATAAAAATACATAAGAAACAAGTAATTTCAATTTGTTCACTGGTAAAAACATTTTTGTGTCCTAGCTTACTACCTATGTATTTGTCAACAACATCTCCTCTTCTGTACCGCGAGTTGACACAATATGTTAAAAGCTTTTATTACATTTAGAGGAGGGTGTGTGTGTGAAGGGGGTGTATATCTATACCCCCATTACCGCATGGGTGTATTGTTTTACCGATAATACAAAATGTTAAATTATTCAACGATGTCAATAGACACGTGTGGTTTAGAAAACAAAAATATAAGTTTATTCAAGTTTCTATAAATATGTACATTTGCATCTAATAAGGTCAGTCCTCCTTGATCTGATCAACGTAGTGCTTTATGCATTTAATTGTAAAATTTTATTTTTAAATTAATACGTCACATTATTTTGCTAACATGGTTTGATTATGAGATTGATTGTAAATTATTGCACGAAATGATTTCACAATCCTTTTTTAGAATATAGGTATTTATGATAAAAATTATTTCACTGTTTTTCCATGGCATATTGGAAAGTCCAGATCTATATTTCTTTGCATTTTTGAGAGAATTAGTTTTGGACGACCCCAACATATTGCGTTATTTATCACATACTGTATAGAATAAAGAAAATATTTTATGTATTAGTCAAAAACTTAAAACATGCGTGAGATATGTTGGTCAAAAACTTAGAACATGCGTGAGATATGTTGGTGTTTTCTGTCCGTTTTAGTCCATAAGACAAATCTTTTTGTAGGCGACTACTAAGTATGTTGCGCTACAAGGGTCGTTTCCAGGGAGGATGATTCGCTAGGTAAGTAATTCCGGTTCAAATAATAAAAGTAGTCCCGGCTCAAAGTTCCATATCGGCCATACCTAGGGTAGTGAGCCAGTTTATGAACTGTTGAAGCTCCTTTCTATCCAGGCAGTCATTACCTGAAATTACATAATCAATCATGTTTTAGTCTAGAAGTTACTAATTTTAAAATGGCCGAAGCCATGCAATATAACAAGGGAGTATACGACATACGGGTATTTGCCATTTGTCTAAGTATAAAAGCAACACACTCTACACTCCCATCTAGTTATTTTGACGTACGGTTCGGTACCGTTATGTAACAACATAGATGACCTTCCAATTATTTTTGTTTTATCGATTTACACCTTCTGAAAGGTAGGACTAACAAATTATAATTTGGCTCGAAGCAATCAACTGATTTGGGGAAAACGAGCATTGGCATAACATTAGATTTTTCCAAGGCCTTTGACACAATTAATCATGACATTTTGATACGAAAACTTGAATATTATGGCATCAGAGGAATAGCTAAGTCCTGGTTTGAAAAGCTATTTAAAAGACCGCAAACAATATGTCACCATTAACAATTATGAATCTAAACAATCATCTCTAAATTGTGGTGTTCCACAGGGCTCGGTACTTGGACCACTATTATTTATTCTTTACATAAATGATCTGCCTTTTGTTGCCCCTAATCTAAAATTTATTATGTTTGCTGATGACAACAATCTTCTTGATAGTGATTATGATTTAAATGAACTTATGACTAGAACTAATGCAAACTTGAATTCAATAGATGACTGGATAAAAGCAAACAAACTTTCACTTAATATTGGCAAAACCAATGCTATTCTATTTGGACCCCAAAAAATCAAACAAATCTGAATCTCAAAATACGCAATGAGAACATAAATTTCCGGGAAAAATTGACTTTCTTGGAATTATTATTGATAAAAACTTGAAATTTAAAGAGCACATAAAATCTGTTGAAACAAAGATTTCTCGCGTCATTGGTTCTCTTTATCACATTAAACATCTACTTCAAATAGACAGTTTCAAAACAATTTACTACTCATTGATACACTCTCAATTAAATTATTGCAACATAATCTGGGGTAACACATTTAAATCATTTTATGATCGTCTACATAAACTGCAGAAACAATTCTTAAGGCTAGCTTTAAATAAGGATAGACTTTCTCACTCCGCTCCCTTATTTAAAGATCTTAAAATATTAAATATTTTTGATGTCAACAGATATTGTACTGGTCAGTTCATGTACAAAATCTTTAATAAGCACCCCAGTCTTCCAAAAAATCTATTTCAAGACTTGTTTGATATCAACATTAATATTCATCATCATTACACAAGACAATTGTATTATTTTCATATCCCTAAATGCTCTAAACTTTCCCTTCGCTATCTAGGTCCAGGGGCGGATCTGGGAACCAACAAGGGGGGGGGGGGCCAAACTTCTGGTCTGAGAAAAAAACGTCCGCGCTTGCGCGGAAAAAAATTTTGGGCCCCTAAAACCCAAAAGTGGGCCCAAATTTTGAAATTTTGAGGCCCATTTTCTTCAAAATTTGGCCTAAAATTAAAAAATAAGGCCTTAGAAGGCCAATTTATGACCAAAAAGGCCTACTTTTTGGGGCCTTCAGGCCTTTTATGGCTCAAAATTTTTTTTGGGCACAATTTTTTTTTCTGGGCCCACCCAAGGGGGGGGGGGCCGGGCCCCTGGGCCCCCCCCCCAGATCCGCCAGTGAGGTCCTAATCTTTGGAATGCTCTACCACATGATATAAAAAATGCTCCACTCTAAATATTTTCAAATCTTCATGCAAAAAACTTCTCATCTTTCGATAATGTATAATACCAATATCATACTATACTGTTGATTTTATACTTGTACCTGATTTTTGTAACATTTTTACATTGTACATCCTTAGATTAATTGTTAATACCATTTTTATATACCTACATGTAACATAATATAAGTGTTTTCTTTTATATATAGTCTAGATGTCATTTTAATGATTTCTGTTAAACCGCAACATATACCCACTAGGGTGTCTAGCGGCTTGTTTTTATGGTGTATATTATATAAGAATTATGAAATAAATTGAATTGAATTGAATTGAAATTGAAAACAGTTGTACAAAAAGTCCAATTAGGAATATACTGGCGGCTAGGTATTTGGTTTTCAAATTCAGCAGCACATCCAACCAATCATACTTTTACAAACATTTCGCCAACGTAACAAAAGTGGTGATTTAATGTGTGAATGACGGTTTTATTTGAAAATAAAATTCCTAACCACCAGAGTATTTTTTCTTAAAGTGAAATCTTTGCTTCAACTTCGAGCCTTCTAAAGCTTCTAAATTGACCAGGTGTCAATCGATCAATCAATCTAAAAAACCGGAAGGACATCCATGTTGTTACTTTGACGGTACGTCGAAGAAAGTAGTTGGTGAACAATACCATGGGCTTTCAAGAGATATGACAATAAATATAAAAGGAAGACGCCACGAACATTTCTCTTTATTATTTTTTATATTTTGTTTTACTGAGATGACGTTTTCATTAGGAAATGCAGGTTACTATTAATAAATATGTCATTATTTTATAAACATCAGAGGCGTTACTAGGCCAATATGTCAGTCTCATTGTGCTAGTAAACCTCATATTATCTAGGATTAATTTACATTTGTAGTCACATCGCTATCGCATGTGCCTGCGAGTTCAGCTTTTGCTTATACAAAGCTGTATACCCTCCTGGGTTCTAGCGGGAGTGGAGTCCTTACTGCGCAGCCACGGTGGCGGAACAAAATGTCGGAACCTCGAATTTTTATTTTTTCCTTATTTCACGCGTTGTAGACAGAATTCCCACCACATTTTTTATCACAAACACGTATCAATAGCATATGTCTAAGAAAATGCACATGTCATTGCTAACAAATAGTTCAGAAGACAACAGAATTGTCTATTTTATTGTCACTTTTGTTACGTAAACGGAACTTCAAAAACGGTTAAGATTTTCATTTTTTACCTGTTCCGTTTACGTAGCGAGTGTTGTGTTTACGTTCTTTTTCTGGTCGCCGTACGGTCGCAGCTGCCTAGTAAGAACGCTACTGGGGGGGGGGGGGGGGGGGGGGTGTTACAGAAAAATTCTTAATAAGCATAATAAAATAAAATGTACACATGGATGATGGATCATATATGTAACACCACCATATACTTGAAGTACATAAAAAAGCTAACTTACATTGCATGTTGACAATATAAGTTATTGAATGATTTGAAGTGCAATACAGGACATATTCCGCTCGAGAAATTCCGTATTGGCACGAGACGAAGTCGAGTGCCAATACAGAATATCGAGACACTAAAAAAACTAGCACTTAAACCCCTAGAACTGGCCCGGCAAGGTGGTAATAATATAACATAATCTGATGTAATATAAAATAATATGATATAAAAATATCAAAGTTCAATTTAAGATTGATTGACCTAGATAGTTGATTAAAGAGCTGAGTAAGTAACTGAGTAGGAAGCTGAGTAAGTAGATGATTAAGTAATTGAGTAAGTTGCTAAGTAGGTAGTTGAGTAAGTAGCTGAGTTGGTAGGTAGGAATTTTTGAAAGTATATTCGATGGATCTGCATTGAAGATACTGGCTAATGCGAATTTCAAAATAACGTAGAATCTCAACTGGAAGTCGGATTGAAATTTGGTTTGAAAATTCAGATTCCTGGGGAAATTCTACCCTTACTTCATAACTCAAACGTTGAATTTGGAGAACATTTTATTTTGACCTACATCTCGGACGCCATATCTCAAAAGTGGGTCAAAATACTTTCTGATTGCAAAAGGCTAACACTATTAGCACTATCTTTGCTACCTGTATACACAATTTTGAAGGATATCATCAAAGTGTGGTGTCAGAATCGCAAAAATAGGGAAAAACTATGATAGACATTTGGTTTGCAGATTCGGAAAATTCCACTCATAACTCATACATTGAACTTGGAAAACCTTTTGTGTTGACCTACTTTCAGAAAGCCATATCTCAAAATCGGTAAGAGTAATCAAAAAACGGATGCACACTCTTGATTTGGCTTTTTCTAAGGTACATTTTTAAAAAAAGATTTAAGACTTACGATAAATAACGACGAAGATAAATGACAGAATGTTGAAAATGTAAGATTTGACCTAGTTCTTGACCTTTGACCTAGATTAAAATTTGACCTTATTTCCCAACAACCCAGATAGTTTCCCTAGTTAAGCATGTAAAATAGTTTAAGTAAGTCCTTCTAGTTGCTGAGAAAACGAGGGGAGAAAGAAAGAATAAGAAAACTGGCAAAAGCAATAGACTCCAGCGTCTAATAACAAAATGGTCAAATAGTGAAAAGATCAAGGGTTAAATTATCATTTCATTATCACAATTTTATTATTGATAATAATTCATGTCATATTCAATTTCTGGCGAGGTCTCAAATATCATTGGATTGCAGATCTTCAATCGTGCAATGATGAGCCATTAACATTAAAAGTCAAATAATATGGGATCTCAATATGTGAAGTCAACAAATCTTATAATCTACTGGAATACTTTAAGCCAATTTGTAACTTCAGATAGACTCTAATTGAGTTTTGTTGATTACAAAATATGCTTATTCTGGACTCATTCGGGCAAGGTCTCCAATTTGAAGAGTACCTCTGGTTGTTTGATATTGTCGTAAGCGATAGACTTTCCCGTCTTGATAAGCTCAGTGGAAAAAATTGCATCAATTCTCCAGCGCCCCCTCCGTCTGTATTTAAACTGTGGCTGGCGGATTGATGTCAGACTAATGGACAAATATTTGACTGGGGGAAATTATTTTACTTCCGTCAATTAGTAAAGATTCGGGATTCGATCAACCCAACGACCATTGGATATGTTCTATCTCTGCAATCCAACTGTATTTTTTATCAAATACAGATCGTGAATCGGTTCATATGATTGGCGAATTTCCTTCAGATGACCCTTCTGGCGATGGAATAATTTCCATGGGATTTTCAAATCCATCGGTATATTTGGAAGCGCATTAAAGATAATCTATGGCTGGCCATCTGGACCAATGTATCGTCATACTTTTAACGCC